CTTTGCCTACTGAGAGACGTGGACGCAGACTGTCGAAAGGACTAGGACTACGCCGTCAGTAGAGGATAAAGCGCAGTCTGACCGGTACGGTCTGTCAGTCGGAAGCTTCATGGAGAGCGCTAGTGCGGCTCGTTCGTGAGCTATTTTGTGGCGAGCTTGAAACACTCCAGGATTACCCTTAGTGGAATTGGTCCTCGGAATGACCTGTCTGGTAGGAGCTCGCGAGCTACAGTTGCCTCAGAGTATCTCTTCAAAGATAGCACGGGGAACCCGGAGTCCGCCTCGCGGCGGACTCCTCCCCTCGTGAGCTGTATCGTAGCAAACTGCTTCGTGGGCCCGTCACTTGGTCGCTCCAGGCTTCAACGCTAGGCTGTCGCTCATGCTAAGTCGGCGTCTACGTGTCACTGCTTCATAGGTTGGGTCAAATCATCCTACATCAATTGCCCCCCACTCCACGAGCTAAGAGTACCGCCTTAGCGCGGGGAGTTTATGAAGTGGGATGGACTGATTTGACCAAAATTCAAACTTGATTGACTGCCCTCATTAAATGCATTTGCGGGAATCAAGAGATTTTCTGACTTTTCGGATTTCGAAAACGTGCTGAGGTGGCCTTTAACTCCGAACGTCGTACGGCTGCGACTACCTTAATTATGCCAATCGCCTTCGGTTTTCAGAAGGCGTGCGGTCAGGGCGCCCACGGGCCGTTGGATCTGCTTTGATCCGGGCCGTCAATCTGGAAGGGTGGAGACTATAAATAAGGGGCCCCCTCGGGCCTCATTTTCTCCCACGCCATTTCGCTGTCTTTGGATTCTGAGGTCGCGCACTTCACCTAGTCTACCCAAATTCCTCAGTTTGCTTCGTTCCATCTACTCTGTTGAGTCCCAATCGCTGTCATCCATGTCTGGGTACCCATACCACACCTATCACAGGGGCGATGCCCAGGATGACGATGCTCCCTCGAGCTTAGGGGGAGCCTGGGAGCAGATCCCGGAGGCTCGGGAGGCCTCTGGCGACATGGCGTCTACTTCTAGGGGGAGGGATACCTTTGGCCCTTCCTTGATGACAGTGGAGAGACTCATGTCTCTGATCCGCTACTTTCGCCTCCCTGGGGACCTAGTTTACAGCCTCCCCACTAGCAACTTCCCTTGGGAGCATGGTCCCAATGACATAATAATCTTTCAGGAACAACTCGAGGCTGGCTTACGTCTCCCCCTGCACCCCTTGATAGTGGAGGTGTTAAATCACTTCAACGTCACCATTGACCAGCTTCATCCCAACGCCATTCGAAACATGGTTGGGACTATATCCCTGTGTTACGAGTACTGCCTTCCTTTGGACCTTGATATTTTTGTCTCTATCCTTTTGTATAAAGAACGCTGCTCCTAGGGTTCCTCCGGAGAGGCGCTTTTATTACCTCTCTCCCCGCCGCGGCTATAAGCTCTTGTACGAGCTGCCGAATAAGATTCCTGCTTGGAAGCGGGATTACTTTGTGGTCCGTAACCTCGAGGGGTGGCCCTTCCCCACTGTTTGGAGGGGCGCCATCCAGGACCCCAGGGCCAAGCTGGACCCTGAAATTCGGAAAATGATGTTGTCCTGGGCGTCGGTAGGCTTCCTTTGCTCGGATTACTTTACCGAGGATAAGCTCGTGCAGACAGGCTTGAGCCTGAGTAGGTCGGCCTTTTAGGTCGCGTAGTGCCTTGTGACAATGTTGTGCATATATGTATTTTGCTTTTTGTTGGACTAATATCTTGTGGTCTTTTGGCAGCCATCATGTCCAGTGCCGATTCGCGCCGCCTTCTCTCGGGCAGCCAGAGGCGCCATGCGAAAAGGACGCGCCCCAACCGGACCCCCCCTTCGGGAAGTACTGAGTTCGGGTCTGCCGAGCCGGTTCTACCCTCTCCTCTGCCCGAGGTTCCGATGCCCCCACCTGAGGGGGCTAGTAGGATTAACCCTGGGGGAAACGAGCTCCCTCAGCCGGGGGAGGCTCCCTGTAATCCCCTTCAGCCCCGTCCTTACCCCCG